TTACAGCTCCTTACTCAAGACAGATGTGTTTTGCTCTGAGCCCTCTCAGGAGCTGGGTATTCATTTCAGGGTTCGTACACATTTTTACCAATAAATTTCCTACATGCTATAGGCTATTGAATAAATGTGTGAATATCCATCATTTTAAAGTCAAAAGCTGCGGGAATGAGTAAAACTATGCGATATAACCTATGCGCAATCCCGCACCGAAATTCAGGACCTGATTAAACACAATTCTATTATACAGAGTTTTGTGAAATAGATTTCAATGACTTTTCCAAAACTTTCTGGGTTTATTTATTTTTCCAAAACTTTTCCAGGCCTGGAAATTGGTGTTTTAAAATTCTTTTTGACTTTTCTTTTTTGGAAATGACTTTTCCAGGTTTTTCATGACCGTACGAACCCTGTCATTTACAGATGAAATGCAGAGACCTCTCAAGGTCAGTAAGACAAGGATATTTGCAATGCTTTTACTCCTGCAGTTTCAACTAATCACAATGAAGCAGGCTTTGTGCGTGTGTGCATGTTTTGCCCTTCACAACCTGTGTTCAGAGTTTAAACACTGTATATATAAAAATTATTATTATTATTATTACAATTATTATTTTGTTAAAATAATCAAAAGATGGTCACAAGATAAATATTCCGATTTTCCCCCCAGAAGTCTGTTTTATTCAAACAATTATGAACATTTTTGCATTTAGATACAGAAGAACTTTGCCTGTTGAATATTAAAAACATATGAACAAACAAAAAATCTGGACCTCCATGTCTGCCATGCAAATCAACTGTTCCTGCTCATCTCCAGACTGGATCTCTTCTCTCCACTTATCCCTAATTGCAGATTCAATTATTAGATCTGTCAGCATTAATATTTTTATACTTAGATGTTTTTGGGGGATCAAACTTTAACACCGTGTGTCCCAACCAGACAAAACGCAATAAAAAGTATATTTTCCATGTAGTTTTTGTCCTAACCACCCGCGACAGCGACACGTGACAATAAGCGACACGTAATTCTATTTTAGAAATGGTTTTTATTTTCTGCGACGTTGCGGCAGGAACAACATACAAAATATGACAGTGATAATCTCAGGTAATGAATATGTGCTTTATTCAATGTTAAAAGTGTCTAATGTGAGTTTGAATATTATTTTGCGTTATCTTTATAGCCATAGTGAAAGCAACAATAGATATTTTACCTCAGATCTTGAAAATAAATTAGGCTAAAGCAAACTTATGTTAAAACTGTGAACTCACTGCGAACCAACATCCATAACAAAGATGGTATCACTCACTCAAAACTGTTCAGTCCATTCACATTTGAATCATCTATTTTCAGTGTCCACTTTTCTTTACTTCACACTTGCCATGTTTTTGCTGTCACATCGTATATCTACACTGGACGCGACAAAGCATTGCAAATCATTTGAACTTTGTGTCAGCACGTCATAAATAGAATGAGTCAGCAGTTTTCTGTCGGGGATTTGTCGCGCCGCACTGCGCCGCATCCAGTGTAGACAGCATCACTGATTATAATAAGTTCTATTGTATTTTGTTGCATCGCGCCACTCGCGTCCGGTGTAGACACGATGTAAGTTAATGTCGCTTTCTGATGCTGCGCTTGAATTTTCATGCCACCTTATTTGAAATTAGCATGGGCCAAACATTTTTCTCTCGTGCCGCCTATTGAGGAACCCTGGATTAAACTGTTTACACACAAACCCCGGACAAAAATGTACAGATTTTGTAAACCGTTCTCACTGAGAATTTATTCCACAGCTACAGTATAACAGTTGTCTATGCTGTGCTCTATAAAAAGGAGTGTCTCAGAAGCTTGAATGACATTCTGACATTATCACTTGTCGAGTTCACACACACCACCTACAAGTACGCATATTTATGGTCATGTATTAAAGAACATGTTTACTTGTTTACATGTTTACTTAAGAGTGATAATCTGAGTGTGAATTGCAAGTAAGAGAAACATTATGTGCAAAGTAATTAAATATGAAATATAACTTAGTAGTGCTGTGGCAGGTGGAATAATACACTAAATTGTAGCTTGCTTGACTATAAAAAAATATTTATAGTGAATTTATAAACATAACAAATAAAAAGTAGGGGTGGGAATCTTTCGGTACCTCACGATTCATATTGATTCTTGGGGTCACAATTTGATTAAAAATCGATTCACGATTTGTAAATTTTTAATCACGCTTCACAATTTTTCATAACATTTTTTGTGCACATGGACATCAAACACACCAGTATTTTGATACCAAAACACACCAGTCTATAGTACAGGTAGTCCTGACTCAAGAAATCAGTGTTTCCTATTAACTATTAACTTCCTACTAAATCAAAAATATTTCACACTTCAGATCAATAATTAATAAACACTTGTCCTCGCTGAAAATGGGGCAGATGTAATTGTTTTTCCTCCTCCATTGCTGTTACTGTTTTGTTCTGACAACATCAAGTTATTATTATTATTATTAGGGATGTGCCTGAATAGTGAATCTGTATTCAGAAAGGCACAAAAAACGAACAACGCATACTACCACTAAAGCCACTAAAGGGACATGGTTAGATGCTTGCTAGCGGTTGCCTGTTACAGTTAGGGATGCAACGGTTATAGATTTTGTTGGTACGATTATTGTCTGAGGAATAATCACGGTTTTACGATTATGACGATTATTCTGCATTTATTCATTTCCCAACATTACTAATGTATAAAATCACATGAACACTCTTTAGATATTAAAGTGTTATTTATCGCTGGCTTTTGAAACAGAAATAACACAGTAACCAACAATACAGCACAAAATAATAATAAACAAAAGACAAACAAAAGTCCATCTCTCCCATTGGAATTAAAAAAAGGTGACCTCTGCTCTGTAAACATCCATGACAGTAGTTCTCTTTTGAAAATAACAAATGGAAATAGATCACAAAAGTATTTAATGTTTTCAGTTTGTACAATCTTTACATTTCTTTTGGACCTGGGATAGAGAATTTGGAAACACGGTGAAAAAAAAATCTTGTTGGTTTTTACTTATGAATAATACTACAACAGGGATAGTAAACAACAACGTTAATGAAGTAGCAGGTTTTCTTTTTCTTTTGTTTTTACTCGCGATCTTTACAACACGCATTACATTACATAGGCTATTTCATGGCACACTCGTTTTATGCGTATTTGGCGCATATAACTTTTTTCGTTTTGCACTAGCTGCAACAGTTCCGTTCCGTGTAACAGAAACACTCGGTTTAGCGGAACCTTTACGATTATTTACCGTGACGTTTTAAAGCATGGTTAATCGCTGCATCCCTAATTACAGTACATAAAATTTCACCACATAAACAGAGTAAGGAGAGATGACTGATAGGATGATGGATGATTTGCAGATCCTGAGTACCTCTGACAAATATCTAATCTTGTAAAATGTGTGGTAAGTATTGCCGCTCTGTAATATACACAGAGTACGTGTGATTGCGAATCTCGAATCTCCCCGCATATTAATAACAGCTCCCTCATGCCTGCAATTTATATACAATATAATTACCCAACTATATAATTGTGAGAGAAAGCATTGAAATATATTTTTTCCTTCCATATCGTATTTAAGGATTCCGTAGTACATGTCATTTCCTTTCCGAACACGGTATTCAGATTCGGGAACATTCCTTATTATCATTATATTAAATAGAAAATCGATTTTTGACATTTGTGAATCATTGCGAATCGCTAGAAGAATGAATCGCGATTCATTTGTGAATCTAATTTTTCCCCCTCCCCTAATAAAAAGGGACAATTTTAGTCGACTATTGAATTTTGAAATAGTTAAAAGGTACAATATGTACGTTTTCACCGCCAGAGGGCGCATATTCAAAACAAAAAAAGAAACAAAGGCGTAGTTTGATGATGCCGTGACTGAGTGTGAAATCATGGGAGTTGTCGTCTTCATCCCCACAGCCGACGCAATCCGACGGGACTCAGGCAGAAATCATGTTCATGGATGAGCTAATGTATTAAAGATTTATTAACATCGTAGTATGAAGCAGTGAGGTGGAAAGCCGTCGAAGTGAAACGAGGCCGTCGAAGTGAAACGAGGCCG